GGCTACCCTTGGCAAATTTACATAGGGTTTCGATAACTTCAACCCTCGAAAACCTTAAGAGGTACCAAATTGAACAAACTTATGCTAAGGCATAACAAAGTTTTTCGATAACACTGAATCCTAAAGGGTACAGATTTATCTTATGCTAAGGCATAACAAATTCTTATATGATTAAACCTTTAAGCCGAAAAAAGGGAAAAAGCCACTCTTTTGAGGCCATACCGGCCCGATTCAAGAGCCTAATGGCCATTACATTATTGAGCTCGAGGACCCGCCTTCGCTTAACCAAATAACCTAAGGCTTTTTTTTCTACTCTGAGTTCGAGCAAGTACTCACTCGGTTATAGAAACTATACCAATCCGATTTCGACAAAATTTCTCACAAGACCGAAAGTATATCAGAATTATCATAAGGCGAAAGCAAAACAGAGTTTTCACGAAATAGAAATCAGAGACAAATCGGAAAGAGAAAGGATCTTTCATATATACAAAGGTATTTACAAAGACCACTCAAGGTCTTACACAAAAAATCCAAAAAAGAAGAAAAATCTCTAAGTGCCTAATCTTCCCCGGGAGCTCCATCTTCATCTTCTCCGCTCTCGGATCCACTTGCGCTCCCGGAGTCATCATCATCAGAGAGCAAAGCTTTGGCTTCGGCCTCGAGCACTTTTGCGTTCTCGATATCGGTAGTGAGGTCAAAACCACAAGCATGAATTTTTTCGAGAGTCTCTCTCCGGTACTGGGACTTGGCATGCTCGGCAACGAAGAATCATCGAACCTGAGCAGCATCGGAAATTTCCTTTGCTCGAGCGTGAGCGCCTTCAGCATCATCTTGATAGACAGCCACGACCGCCTCTGCATCGGCCTTTATTCTTTCTGCTTCATATGCAGCCTTCGCAAGCTCAACAACCAACCGAGCCTCAAGCTTCTCGATTTTCTTGGCTCGAGCCAAGCTCTCATCCTTCATGCTTTGGAGTTGACGTTCGGCCGAAGATAGGTGGGACCGATCAGTGTCTTTCTCCGAGGTAAGGCGTTCCATGTTTTGTTTCCACCCCAAGGTCTCTGCCTCCTTCATCTTGGCCTCCTCGCAAAGTTGCTCGATCTTTTCGGCCTTCTGCTGGACCTGCAAGATTGAAGTGTTAGCCGTCGTCTTCGAATTAATAAAACGAGCTTCCAAAATTAATTACCCGCTCAATCAAGTCGGTTTGCCCTTTATGAGTTGTTGCTAATTCAGCTCTAAGGCCCTTGACCTCCTCTTCCTTTTGCCCAGTAAGGAGTTTTAGGGCATCCCTATCCTCCGTAAGCTTTTTTGAGATCGGCCTCACACCGGACCAGCTCTGCCGGGGATTTAGAAACGCTTCCCGATGAAGCGTCAAAGCCTATGGAGAAGGAAAGGAAATCAGACGAGAAGAAATAAAGACAAAAATAATATTAACAAAGAGAGCTAAGGCTTACCTGACTCAGAAGTCGATGGGCTTCATCGAAGATACTCGATGCATCGCCCAGATCGGAAGTCTCTTCGACCCCCATGAAGCAGCCATGGAAAAGATCTTCCCCTTCGTAGGTCGTTCCCACCTCGAGGGTCCCCATGGCCTGGGCGTCACGAAGTTGTCCTTCGGAAAATGAAGGGAGAGACGGTGAATTGTCAACATTTATTGCCCCAAGCGGATCACTTGGGGCATTCTCTTTGTTTTGAAAGGCCTCAGAACTGGCCCCTTCAGGTACGTCCACTGATCGCCCATCACGGCAGGAGACATCTTCGGCCTCCGATGATTCGGGGACTTTGCTCGGGCCACCCTCCGAAATCCCTTCGGCCCAAAGCTGAACTTCTTCGATCGTCACCGGCTCACCGGCCTTAGGGACCTCGGCGCTCCTCTTTTGAGCCACCAGCTCGTAGTCAGCATCTTCATTCTCCTCTTCTTCATCTCGTAGCTGCTGAACCACGTTTTCAGGAAGGGCGGCGGTATCTTTCTTCGACTTGCGATCCTTGCTCTTCTTGGTCTTTGGAGCATCGAAAGGCGAGACCTTTTTCCTCTTCTTATCCATAGCCAGCTTCGGGGTCTCCTCTTCCCTAGGTGGGCGCAGCCTCATGACAGCATTATCTTCGAGACCTGTACGGGGGGAAATCGAGTAAAGATAAAAAAGAAACATTTCACAGAAGAGCATCAAACACGGACAGAAAAGCTAACCGTGATATTTGGCCTCCTATCGTCCCCTTGCCAAATTGCACCACGAGCGCTCATCGTACGAAGAGGTCGAGGCCAGTTTCCGAACCCAGCCTTCAAGGTTCGGGATTGCACCGGGCGCCCAAGAAACCACTGCATCATAGGAAAGGATGTCAATACGGAAAGGCAAAAGAAACAAAACGGTAAACAGAAGCTATAGGTGGATTTGTACTTACGCTTCATGTTTCACTCTTCAGGGAAAGGCATCTTCTCGGCCGAAATTATGTCGGAAGTCCTCACTCGGATAAACCGGCCCATCCATCCTCGGTCCTTGTCCTCATCTATGCTCGAGAACAGCAGCTTGGCGGCCCGACGCTGAAGCCTTATTAGTCCGCCTCGATAAAGACGGGGCCTGTACATTCTAATGAGATGATCGAGGTAAAAGGCATCCCCTCGACTATGGTCACGAAGAATCGGAGCAAAATAACAATGATCCAGAAGGAAGGATGGATTTGGCCCAGGGTTATTTGGTATTGGCGGCAGAAATTGAGGATAACGAGGTCAACGAGACCCAGCGCAAAAGGGTAAGTGTAAACATTCAAGAACCCTTTTACGTGGGTGGTGATGTCCTCTTTAGGGGTCGGAATCACCACCTCTTTGCCTTCCCAATGACAATCTTTTTTCACCTGCTTCAGGTCACCCTCAGTTATCGAGCATATATATCTCGACATCGGCTCACATCAGCCAGGGATCGATGAGGTTTTCTCGATCTTAAAGTCAGAAGTAAGATCGCATGACCCAGGAACACACTCTTCAATGCGTGGCTCCACCGGAGTTTTATCGTCGGTCGGCCGCGAAGAAGAGGCTTTTTCCTTCTGAGGAACGATTTTCGATATTTTCGCCATTTTTATACGAGTTCAGAGAATGAAGAAGGTAAAATTTGTTGTTTGAAGAGAAGGTTGGCAAACGGGATTTGAAGATTTAGAAAACTTGAAGGAAGAAGAAGTGCTCTGAAGATTAGAAGAGATTTTGGAAGTAAAGTTTGAGAAAATTATGAAGATGATCTATTTATAATACTTGATATGACGGTTCAAAGGCATTAGTGGCCGACCGTCAAGTGGCACTAATTAATGATCATAAGAATTGTGCAGACACGACGCTTCGGTCGCCTCCGTCGCTTATGTCATGAGGATGACCTCATAATTGGTCGAGGTACAAAATCAAAGGCTCGGTTCATTTATTCTCGTTACTCTACAAGAAACGAGGGGACTATCTGTATATGGTTAAAATCGGGCTGGCCCGATTTTTTTATTCAACCGAGACCGGGAAATCACGATGAGGGTTAGCCTCGTAGTGGACCGGGCCAGAGTACGAAGACGGGGTTTCAAGTTAAAGAATTGAGGTACCCGTCGAAGACGAGGCTAGCAGAGATCGAGACTAAATATGACCGACTTCGAGTGAAGTGCAATAACAGAAAGACGAGATATCCGTAACTGGTCGAAGATCACGACGGAAATCCCGGAATAGATCAAATCAAGGGTGGTTATTTGTACGAATCATGGGATTTACTTCCGTAGTTAGAATTGTACCATAATTAGGATTCCTCTAGTATATGAAGGGGAGTCCCCATCATTTGTAGGGACCTTACATTCATACAGATCAAAGCAATATTAAAACCACAATGTAAATTTAATTGTTACTCAATTTTTAGGGTAAACACAAAGATTTTCATGATTTTTTCGAAATTATTAAAAATATGAAACTCCATGACAGTGTCATGGATTTTCGTCAAGTATACTATGGAGTTTACATTTTTAAATTCAAAATCTATCACAATGCCATGGATTCCAAAAATTAACTATTTTTAATGACTATTGAATATGTAACTATTTTTCATTTACAAAACCCCTCAAAAGCCCCAGTGACCCAAATGAATGAATGTATTGTACATGTTAGAAATGGTTGGTTAGCAATGTTTCTAATGTGGGGATAAATGAATGTATTATATATGTAAGCTATGGTTGGTTAAAAATGCTTCTGGCGTGGGCATAAATGAATTTGTATTATATATCTGTACGTCGAAGGAGCCTTGGCGTAACTGGGAAAGTCGTTGTCATGTGACCATGAGGTCACGGGTTCGAGCCGTGGAAATAACCTCTGGCTTAAATGCAGATTAAGGCTACATACAATAAACCCTTTATATGTGTATGTTATACTATAGTACTAAACCTCTCGTTAAACAACAAGTAGAGTCAGCGGAGAGTAGTATGTACGCAAATCTTACCTTGTGAAGATCGTAACCTTTTATTGTGGGCATGTCGCGAAGTACACGAGAATATTTGAATTTAATTTTTTTTTTCCGAATACCCAATATCCAAAAACAAGTGTAGAAAGTAAGCAAATATACATAGTAATAGCATTTGAGGCATTTTGTGGTACAAATTTCAACTAACTGCAGTACTGTAACTTATGATGAAGATGCCATAGATGTGACATAGAAAAATACGGGAAAAATGCTGGCCAAGGCCCGAAACAAACATGCCTTAGTCTCTAGTGACGCATTTTAATGTCGTGCGGGCCAACGCCCAAAGCGACAATATCACTAGTGAGCTTGGCTGTTACATATGGTATTCGAGCCACTCCGCGTGCAACCTTGAACGATGATGGGGCAAACGTTAGCGAGGACGCTGAGTCCCTAAGGGGGGTGTATGCGATACACTAGGCGAATCTCACATCGACAAAATACGGAAGAGATGTTGGATATATAAGTACACGTGCCTTAGACTCTAGTGACGCGTTTTAAAGCCGTGAGTGAGCTGGGCGGTTACAATAGATATGAGGTCAAACATCAAGGATGAACCAGTTTCTTTAGACTAGTGTAGTTCCAGAAACAGCACCACCAAAATTACAAATTTTTTAGTACAATGTCAATATTTTTATTGACTGGATCTTTTAATGAACTCTATATAAATACTCTTTCAATCAAGAACCAGAAAAAGTACAACAAAAATCTACTTACTTACACTGCTTTTGAGCAGCAGATGCAACTAGTTTTTCAATAAGACGTCGAAGCCTTTGCGCCCCGGGGCCTGGTCTAAGCTTAGTCGGATTTCCAACGTCCGAACAAGGTGGATTTCCAGCACACCAACCTCCTGGTGTGAAACTACCATTATTGCGATGTAGAAATTCTTGATCAATCCTGTCTAAAACAGGATCATTTTTGTTGAACTTGCGCGCAAATGCAGCGTCACTTGCTATCATTTTTCCAATGTCATTTAGGGAAAGAATGTGTGGATGTTGTTTAGGAGGGATATCCCAAGCAATATAGTGTAAGTCATGGTTTATAACAGTTGAAGAAAATTCAGGTGCATTGCATATAACTGTCTGGAAATAGCCTTCAGGAGAGGATACGAAATTTGAGTAGTACATAAGTAGAGTCCGAGGAAGATTATCCCAACCCCATATGCAGTACTCCACAAAGGCACGCGAGAGGACTGTCCAAGCCGAGCCTGTATTCAAAATTTTAACATGATCAGTGATGATTCATAGAGCCGATCCCAACTTGCTCGGGATTGAGGCATAGTTGTTACGGTATTGTTTATAATAGCAAGAAGGAAATGAGGACAGCTATGGTCCTGGCAGATAGTGCAGCTGCGCTATACTCCTAGATAATGTTACGCGGACTTTGCAAAATGCTGCCGCACCCGTGTCAGATCCTCCAAAAATACATTACTTTTGGAAGATCCGACACGCACCCGACGACATTTTCGGAGAGTCCAAGCAACGTAGCAGTTTCTAGATATGCCGCTTCATACTGCTGACCTCAACTTGCTCGGGATTGAGGCGTACTTCTTATTGTTTATAATAGCAAGAAGGAATAGAGGACAACTAAGGTCCTGGCAGATAGTGCAGATGTGCTATACTCCAAAATGTTGCTGCACCCATGTCGGATCCTCCAAAAAGACACTACTTTTGGAGGATCCGACACGCACCCAACTACATTTTCGAGAGTCCGAACAACACAGTTGTTCCTAGATATACCACATCATAAGGTCAGAACATGACAAAGTCATTTCCTTTTCTCCATAAGATTGGTAAATTTGTTTAATGATGTTTTGGAACAAAATAGTGGAGTACATGGTATCAAGTATAACCATGACCAATTTTCAACTCTAAGGGAAAAAAGCCATAAAAATTTTGGATTCAACAATTTTGACAGGAAACTTCAGTATTGAAATACATTTTGCATATTGAGCTGCACTGATGCAAAATATATGATCAATTCATCAAACGGCAACGCAAATATGCAGATTTAGTTATGATATCTAACCGGTAAAGAGTTTGAAGGCAGTGGGAAGAGTTCGCCTTGGCGAGACCCAAAATATATCAGATTTAGTATTCTGATAAAGCCCGGGATCTATAATAAGCGGCATTGCCCTCTGTGACCTGCAGAAGGACAGATAAAAACTACAGAATGAACTGCGAAAACAGCCAAAGCACAAAATGAGAAACTCAGGAAAAAGGAGAAACATACTCTTTCCATCTCAGCCTGCTTGTATGCTCAATGAAACTAAACTCGCGTTTTACTTCAGAAAATGTGTAGAGAAGATCTGTAAAGCAAATGAATAACTCAAATAACATCTTCAAGTAAAGAAGCAGAAAATGGACCAAAATATATTTGCTAAACAACAAGAGAACTAACCATCTTGAGTTAGTAGAGGATAATCAGACGCGCTCAGATTAATAAACCAATCCCAATGCTTATATTTCTTCAGGAGAATAGACGCGGCATGAAGAGTGTTAGAGACCATAGTCGGACCGCGATAAGTCACCATATTTGCTTTTTTAATCATGTGTACATTCCCAACCTTAACAAAAACAGGTTCTTTTTCAACTCTAGAAGCAAGCTCTAGTCTATCTTCTACCGATGATTTTAGGTCCAAGTGAATAACATAATAATTCCGCGGATGATACAATGATTTCAATGTTCGCCAAAGTTGATCTAAATCACCCTTTGATCCAGATATCAAATAAGCAAAACGCGGTGCAGGAGGAGCAGCAGGAGGAGGAGGAGGAGGAGGAGGCGGAGGCGGTGGAGGAGGACTTGGAGTTTGCTTAATCTTTGCTTCGGCTAAATACAAGCTAGTTTGATTTGTTATAACATGAGATGGGAAAATTGAGAAAACTGAATTGATTGTATGCAATGAAGAAATGAGGCCCATGTCGAAAGAGGTAGCAAGAAGGAAAATCGACACAAGTGAGCTCATAACTAGAGGAAATACCCATCTTTTCTCCACATTCAAGGACCTCATTGCTAAACCTTATCATGTACTCTAACGAATGTCTCTTTTCTCTTCTCCGAAATCTTAACATAAAATCTACCTAGAAAAACTTCAACAGATTTACAGTCTGCTGCTTTTGACCACTCGGCCCCTTCAGTATATCCCTGAAGGAACGATTGACAATTGGTGGGATATCCGCCTCCGTGATCTTAACATTGGAAGTGGAATATCCGCCTCCAATCAAACTTAACTCTCATCGACCAGGCAATCGAAAACCAAAAGGCCCCTCGAGCCTGTAGTTATTGGTTATCAAGGATCGCCTTCTTCAAATTGATCTTCGATTTTATACTCTTTGAATATTCTGTTGAATCAAAAGCCCCAAATCAAAGGTCAACATCAGCATTGTTTAAATTAAAGTACAAACAACACACAACAACAAACCCAGTGTAATCCTCACATAGTAGGGTCTGGGGAGGGTAATGTGTAGGCAGACTTTACCCCTATCTCGTAGAGATAGAAGGACTGTTTCCAATAGACCCTCGGCTCAATGAAGCATAAGCACAACAGTAACGAAAAGAAAACAGCCAGAAACAACAGTGAAGAGAGCCATGGAAAATTCTCAAATAGTGATTAGACTATCTTGAGCTAAAAGTTGGTAGAAAGACAAAACAAGACTCCTACTATTGTAAGCAAGCTAATGTTCAACTATATAAATGAATCTTTTTTGATAAGGGAAACAAACAGAAGTAAACATCAAAATGAATCTTTTTAGCAGAACAAGGCCAAGAATGTTACATCAGGACTGCATTTTGGTATCAAAGAGACCAAATCAACAACAACAACAACAAGCCAGTAAAATCCCACACGTGAGGTCTGGGGAGGATAGTGTGTACGCAGACCTTACCCCTACCCCGAGGGAGTAGAGAGCATGTTTCCGACTGACCCTCGGCTCAAGAAGACGAAAAGAGACAATATATCAGTACCATCAACAGAAACCTTAGAAATAATAACATCATAAGAACCAGAAAATAGATGAAAAGCAATAATAATAACCAGATAGAGACCAAATCATAGGCCAATAATATTGTCCTAAGCATTCACAATATTTTGATTTGCAAATATCTTAAACACTCAAAAGGAGCACAAAAAACAGAATCTAATATAATAATGCCAGAAAAAAATATATTCTGTGCAGCAAGACAAATAAATTTTTGTATTATTAAAAAAAATTTAACTCTCTTGATTGACTGTGACATGTTAATTTGATTAAATATACATAAATGCAATGGTTTCACCTTTTCACATATACACACATATTTTTAATTTTTTCTACATGCATATATATAACTCTAGTCAGTAGCGGAGCCACATGCAATGAATCGTCGAAAAGTTATGCTGCATAAATAGGTAAAAAAAATTAAATTTTTTTGAATCGCTCAAAAAAGAAGCGTATAGGTTCAAATCTCAGGTATGAGATTTATGTATATTCTTGAACCCCATGTTAGAATTCTTGGCTTCGGTACTGACTCGACCCTGATTATACCCTTTATTGTTTATATGCTGGATCCGTCTCTGCCGTTATGAAAAAACATGTAAAGGTATAATAAAAGAGTAAGAATACAATTTACATGTACATTTGAGAAGCTTGAAAAAGATGATCCTTTGTTTTGTACACGTCCAAGAATGAAGAAGAAGAAGAAGAATAAGGACAGTGGACGTGAAATAATAGAGCCTCTTCTTCCTTTTGGCTTTGTTTGAGCTTTTCTGTTAACTGACTTCCGGGAAACCATCCCACTTTCTCAATAATTCTTTTTACTCTTTCTAAAGTTTAACTAGGAAGGCTTTTGGACATAAAAATTATAATTTTTGGAAAAAAAAATAGTATTTGAAATTTAAAATTATGTTTGGACATGTATTTCACTTGAAAAATATTAAAGTTTTGTGAGTGGGGAAAAAAATTTTTGAAAAACTCATTTACGAAAAATTTCCAAAAACTTGTAAAATTTTATGGACAAACACATTTTTGGAAAAAAAGATTTTGAAAAAAGGAATTTGTTTTAGGACAAACGGGGCCTAAAATTTTTCTTTAATAACTTTTTTATTTGGGGTGAGATGGATCGTGGGTTAGGGGTGTTCACGATTATGTAAAAAATCAACCATAGGTTAAAATCATTTTGTTGAGGCTAGTCTTGACACTTCTTGTGTGCAAATTTTAGAGCTGAGCTATTCATGGTAGATTAGAACTTGTATTTCTATTTATGTATATTCAAACAGGTAATGTATTTTCTTCATTCCAATGTTAAATTCCATTTCTTAGTCGATGAAGACTTGTGACATCAGTTCTTGAGATAGTTTATATTAATAACGCCTTTTATTTCTTATTATATAATATCTTCTAGTGTGGATCATATTCCTGTTGGATCACTTGCTTAGCTGCTTAGGTTGGAGGGGGGGGGGGGGGGGGGGGGGAGCTGCACGGTTAGCCACTAATAACATATGTATTTACTTTTAAGTCACCGTTTAAAATGTCTTTAGTCTTTAGCCACTGCTTTAATAAACTTTAACTGGCCGGACGAAAATACCCTTCTGCTCATGTCCTTAACTTTTGAACTTAACTTCAGGACTTCAGGACTACATGTCCTTAACTTTTGAACTTGTAACTCTAAGTTCAGGACTTCATGACTACATGTCCTTAACTTTTGAACTTGGAACTCTAAGTTCAGGACTTCAGGACTACATGTCCTTAACTTTTAAACTTAACTTCAGGACTTCAGGACTACATGTCCTTAACTTTTGAACTTGTAACTGTAAGTTCAGGACCAAGCGTCCTTAACTTTTGAGCTTGTTAGTCTAAGTTCAGGACCTATTATCCTTAACTTTTGGGCTTCTTAGCTTAAATTCAGGACCTATTGTCCTTAACTTTTGGGCTTCTTAGCCTAAGTTCAGGACTTATTGTCCTTAACTTTTGAGCTTCTTAGCCTAAGTTCAGGACTTCAGGACCTATTGTCCTTAACTTTTGAACTTGTAACTATAAGTTCAAGACCTATCGTCCTTAACTTTTGAGCTTGTTAGTCTAAGTTCAGGACCAAGTGTCCTTAACTTTTGAACTTATAATTCTAAGTTCAGGACCAAGTATCCTTAACTTTTGAAATTGGAACTCGAAGTTAAGGACCAAGTGGCCTTAATTTTTGAACTTCCAACTCTAAGTTCAACTCTAAGTTGAGGACCAAATGTCTAAACCTTACTCCTTGATTTCCTTCTTCTTTATAATTTTTTTTATGTTGCCTAACCAAAAGGCTAATCTTCAGAACACAAATTCAACTAATAATAACAGAGAGAAATTTAAATAGAAATTTTTGAACAGAAATTCTCTCATTTAGCCATCGAAGGGGCTAAGAAACTTCAGTTGGCTCAACACCGTGCAATAACAATTGAAAGACTAAGGTCAAAGCCAATTAGTAGGAGTATAAAGAAGAAAAAGAGATTAACAAAACGAAGAGATGACGCGAGAATATCGAAGCTAATTAATCACCCATATTGAAGAGGATAGTGTATCGCCACCAAGTCTAGCTCCACCCACCTAGTCTTTCCAACCCACTGTATTTTCGTTTGGGAAGGAAAGGGTAACTCAGTCTTTTCATATTAATTTTAATAGACTAGTGGCTACTTTTGCTCAGCATTAAAAATGCTGAATAACAAGTAAATACCACTTGAAATAATGGCTACCCCATGCAATTTTTACTAGGTTGGGTGTCATCATGGCCCAATGAGATTTGGATCGTGACACATTGTATCAAATCAAGCCGATTAAAATAAGGAAAATTTTCATATTATCTTTTAGTAGTAATTAGCCATCTATAGATAACATTTACTATATTACGAATTATAGATACCTTTTATGTGGTTATAAATGTATTTGATGTATTTAAGCTATTGTATTCATGAATACAGTAGCAAAAATAGGCGTGAATCAGGGAAGTCCAGCTAATCAGTTGTTGTATTCGAGTGTATTCGACTGTATTCATGGAGTGAAACATGGGATTACAGCTGGACAAATTATTGTATTCGAGTGTATTCGACTGTATTCACGGCGTAAAATAGGGGATTACACTGTTTTTAAAACGGAAAGTGAATCAATTAATATAATAGACTCCTAATATAACTCAACAAACTCAATTATAACACACAAATTTTGTATTTTCAGTTATAAAAAAGATTCTCAACCGAAAAATACCCCAAAAATATAGCAATCTTCAGAGAAATTATATAATACATTTGAATACATAAATTATATTAATTAAAAAAAACGTATGAATACATTCATGGCATATAGCGAGACAGTGAATACAATGAAATATATAGAATACAGCGGGATACATTGAAATACAATGAGAAAAAAAGATAGTGAATATAATGAAATACATGGAATACTACGAGACACATTGAATTACAATGAAAAAAAAGACAATGAATACAATGAAATACATGAAAATACATTGAAATATGTTAACAGAAAATCAAGTTGCTCAGCCCCAAACTCCATCGTCTTTGTTCAAGAACAAACCAACCGGATTATATGTCGGCGGCTGCTGTTCAAGAATCAGTGCATCTATTGTAATGGGATGGGGGCTTTGCACAAAAATCAGTTTAATGTCAAACCCAAGCCCACTGCTACGCCGTCATCTCCCCACTGCTACGCCGTCATTAATGCATGAAGTCAGACATCTCTAAATTTTTTCTAATAATATTTGCACTATAAAAAGCTGCTTACCCTATGTTAAACCTAAATCTAAATTTTGTTGTTGGTTATTGTGGAGTCTGCCTTTGCTGTCTATTTGAAAGAGTGAAAAGCCAAAATGGATCTCTATAGATGGACCAGCAAGATTTTTAGACCTAGATGCTCCCAAAGCACAGGGCTGTGCAAACAACATAGATGACTAAAAGGGAAAGAACAATTTAAAAAGGTGAAATACAAGATTTCGTGAAGCACAAATTACCAAAGAGCTGAAGAATTCCGGTGGAAGCAGGAGGAGATCGGAAATTTTAATGGGATGGGGGAAGAGAATGAGATGTATCAAAGTAGAGAGAGAAAAAAAAGTGTAACTGATTAGCATATTCAATGGCTTAAGGATAGGAGGTAACCAAATTAAATATTTTGCTATAAACCTTAAAAGGTATCTATAGAATATAATTTTTTTTAAATGGTATTTATTTAAAATAAATAAGTTGTTAACATTTGCTATAAGAGATAAAAATTCCTTAAAATAAACATAGTAAACTAGTAAGGTTTTAATTTTAATCATAATCGATCCAACTCGAACCATGCATACCTTAATCGTGGATAACTTTGGAACGACATTTGGTAGGAGTAAAAACATGTACCTAAGGAGTGGAGTTGCAAACTAGCAATCATTCCATGGGAACCTATTAGTTGCAATTCCAATTGTAACTTTAATGAAAAAACTTACTAGTATCGAGTGTTTACATCAAATACTGACTACTAGATATATATAATTCATAAAATAGTTTTGTTACTTAATTGTAATTAAGTGATGAGTATTCATCACACTTTAATTTTGAGACTTCTAAAATTTAATTACTTCGTTTAGGGTAAACACTTGTATGAATAAATACTTTTGCAATGCAATCATATTTATACACTTTTTGTTTGTAATCTATATATTATTAAAATGAGAGGAAAAAGTCATCTCCTTAAGCCATGTGGTAGTCTAAAAAAAAGCCACATGGCATAAGTAGTTAACATTTAGTTATTGATTATCATTTTTGAATTTAAATATCTATAAAATAATAAAATAAAATATATTATATAAAAAACGAAAATTAAAAAAATTGCCATAAAAATTGGAGAGTAGTTTCAGGTTGAAGTTTTTAAATTATTTTACAATAAAAACCTAAAATTACATAAAATAAAAAATCACTTTAATAAGTTTTTTTAATATGCTAATAAAATTAAACAAATTAATATGCTAATAATTTTTTTATTAACAATGCAATTATATTAAATATTTATTATATAATAAAGAAAGATACATAACAAAAAATTTATTCGATGACTATATATGTCCCCTTGATTTAATAGAGATTTTATTCATTAAAATTCAGATAATATTATTGACAACAACAAAATAAAATTTAAAATAAAAAATATTTCATGATTAATAAATATATATCTTCTCTTATATTACAAAAAAAAACGAGTAGATAAATATTAAATAAAGTAATTTGCTAATAAAAATTTCTATTTACAATATAAAAATACTAAACATTGATATAGAATAAAGAAAAATATAGAACTAAAAATTTATTCAGTGACTATATAAGTCCATTTAATTTAATAGAGATTTTCTTATTGGGTGTATCATATTGACAAATAAATCTGCAATTGAAATATATTAAAGTAATACGATCTTATATGTTCAAACAAGCCCGATCATAATACAATTTAATTAATATTTTTTAATATTGATCGCGCATCGCGCGTGTACGACTACTAGTATTTTTAAAATAAATTGAGCCCGTAAATAAAAGGAAGGAAAAGAAAGAAGAGATGATGGTTCTTCCTGAAATTTAAACCTAATTTAAACTTATATATCAATTATATGAAACTATTTAAAGCGACTAATTGAAAAATAGCAAGTATTTAAGTTGTGTAACTATTTTTCATATTGTAAATACTTGAATTAGAAGTTTCGAGCTTGAAATTTGAGAACGAAGATATTTTTTGGTGATTTGCACGAATAAGATATTTTTACGGGGAATGACACAGCAACCCACAAAAATAAAATTATTTACCCTTGTCTATCCATTTGTTTTTCTACCCATAAACTAATTACATTTCCTACCCATAGTAGTTTTTGTGGGAAAATTTTTCTTTATTCTCCAATTCTTTTTATTTATATGCTTCTTCTCTTTTTCTTTTTTTTCTTTTCTCCTTTTCTTTTTTCTCGTTTTCTTCTTATTTCTTTCTTTTTCCTTTTCTAATTTCATTTAATTTCTTTTTTTTATATTTCTTTTTTCTTCATAATCTAATTTCATTTACTGTTTTCACTATTTTTTATTATTCTTATTTTTATACAATAAAAAAATAACTGATATAGAAAATATTTATTCACCTTTTTTTTAATATAACTAGTATAATATACCTTTTGTCTTTTTTTTTATTTTCTTAGTTCAATTATTAAACTGAAATAATATGAGTTGTCACTTCATCTAATTCACTGAATATCACACTGACTGCTGCTGAGCACCATAAATTACATGATCAGATTCTAAGAATCAACACGTGATTGCCATGCAAACCTTGACCTCCTTCCCTACAAATATCAGTACACACTCTACCATTAGCCGTAACACAACCAGTTATGGAGCAAGAAAGCATAATCTACGACCACCAAATCTCTATATATACTAGTTAGAATATAAATGATTAAAATATTAAAAAATGCAATAAAAGTATAAGCAGCAAAAAAGACTTCTAGTATCACATGATACCAATATGGTATACATGTATACCAACAGAGTATATGATTGCTCTAGAATATTGCTACAACTATCTACGACTATACTACTGTACCAAAACTTTAAAGGATGCAATAAAAGTATGAGAAAATTACATGCTCGCATTGCAAGTTAAATATTCGCAAAGCAACTTGCTCATTCTGTATACTAACAGGGTATATAGTTGTATGAGGTCGTTCCTACAATTGCCTATAACTATACAAACTATTATATAATACACATAATCTATGTCCATCGGCACAAAAAAATTCTAGCACTGCAAATCACGTTCATACAAATAATTTCAGAATAGTAATCACTTAAAAATGTAGCTAAAACAACCAAAAAAGTGTTCAAACTACCATATGATACCAATATGGTATATAACTATACCAACATGGCATACAGCTTTACTGGTTAATTTCCGGCAATTATATGACTATACTACTATTACATAACACACATGCATAAAGAGAAAAAAAAAAGTCTACCACATATTAATAAAATAAAGTATTTCAAGATATTGTACTATATTATTATATTTAAAAGAAAATCAAATAGTGTACCAATTAAATGCAGCTAATACAACCAAAAAATGATTCAACTATCATATGATACCAATATAGTATATAACTATACTAATAGGGTATATAGTTGTACGGGGTCGTTCCAACAACTTCACATAACTATAAAATCTGTATCCATAGGTACAAGAAAATCCAATACAGCAAAACATGATCTTATAAATTATTTCAGAATAAAATTCACATAAAAATGCAGCTAAAGCAACCAAAACTATTCCAACTACCATATGATATCAATATGACATATAATTATACCAATAGAGTATACAATTCTACTAATTAATTCAGGCAACTATATGTGACTATAGTACTATTATATAATACATATGCATAAAGAGAAAAATCAAAAAATAGTGTACCACATATTAATATAAGAATGTATTTCAAGATATTGTACTATAGTACTATTATATAAAACAAACGCATAAAGAAAAAATCAAAATGAATTACATAATACACATGCATAAAGGAAAATTAAAAAAAATTCAAGATAGTATACTATTCTACTGTTACTAAAGAAAAATTAAATAGTGTACCAATTAAATGTAGCTAATACAACCAAAAAATATTTCAACTAACATATGATACCGGTATAGTATATAGCTATACCAACAGAGTATAAAATTGTACGCAAAGAGTTTAATTTTTTTTAATTCAATTATTAAACTGAAATAATATCAGCTGTCTCATAATCTAATTAACTCAATGAGAGCTTATGCAATGAATAATACCTCCATGGAAATCCATTAAATAGTTCATTTAGAAAAGTATTTGAACACAACATCCAATTAAGTAATCGGGTGTTTTTAGGTGATTAGTACGAGGATCACGCGTGACGTTGAATAAAAATCTCATATAGAGAAAGCCAAAATCTATCGAATTCAACGAGATTGAGAATTTTGAGAAGAAACTATTGAAACCCTAATTATTTTTTTTTATAGATTTACTTTCTAGCTTTGTTTTTCTGGCATACATGAAAAAGAGAAGATAGAAAAAGTAGATTGATCAGAGATTATAGGGAGGGATATAATCCAATTAGAGAAAGTGAAGAAAGAGAAAGGGAGAAGAAAAATATAGAGAAAAAGTACAAGGCAACTTTAAACTGCATAGTTGCAGTAGAAGAATAAATAAGAAAAATGGATATGCGGGTAAATAGTTTTGGTCGGCCAGGTGTATAGTGTAACCATTTTAAGAATAGGTAAAAGCGGGTAATTAACTATGCTTAATATTCTCATGCAGAGCTATTTTTTAAAAATATTTTTTAACGGGATGAAAATGTAAATAATAATTTTAAAAAGTATATCCAATGTAATTTCTTAAAAAATTTCGGTAGGAACAAATTCCCACTTATATAAGCTTTTCCGCGACAGAGAAAAATCTGGTTTAGTGAATTTGGATTAACCAAAAATAAAAACAAAACAAAAAATTTGTTCTCACATTCCTATTCCAACATGACTACAATGTCTATAATAATCTCCATAAATAGTTAAAATCTGTTTAGTTATTTTTGTCTCATTAATTTCTCTTTCTCACGGCATTCTCCAATTGAGAGTATTTCTTAAGATTCTTTTGCCTTATTTTTTCCGATTACTGGTAAGTCTCCGCCCTTCATGTTTTTTTTTTTTCTTCAAACAATTGAAATAAGGGTCTATTTTTTCGATTGAATTCAGGGGAATTATTGAGTATTTAGTAGTATTTGTGTTATTATTGCCAATTGAAACTTGTTTTTATTGCTTTCTGCCTTTGTTTGAATCACTGCATGTGTAATTGCTGATTCTATGGATGGTTCTTTATTAAAATTCTAATCTTTACTTGCTATTTCAGATAGGATTTAAGTTATATATACTGACAACAGGATTTAAGTTATATATACTGACGGTAGGATTTAAGTTATATATACTTACAGTAGGAATCTTGTTGTTTTTAATGTGCTATTATATGGCTTTTTGGTACTTTCCTATTTTCATTAATGTGGTGCTTATGCTTTCTTGAGCCGGCCGAGGGTCTATTGGAAACAACCTCTCTATTCTCACAAGGTAGGGTAAGGTTTGCGTACACACTACCCTCCCCAGACCCCACGGTGTGGGATAATACTGAGTGTGTTGTTGTTGTTGTTGTATACTAACAGTAGGATTTAAATTATATATACTGACAGTAGGATTTAAGTTATTTTCTTTGCGCTAATGAATATTAGCTTGTGATAGTAGGTTAGTTACTGTTTTTACTAGATTATCAATTAATGATTATCAAGAGGTTTAACTGCAAATACCTAAAAATTTACCCGATTGTGTTAATATTTTTTTCAAAGAGAATGCGGCATAGAGTGAGTATCTCAGCTAATTTATGTGTCATAGTTAGAGCACGTCTGACACAAAGGTCTATTCAATTTGTATTTATATCACACACTCGCTCTGTCGCAATTTATGTGTCATAGTTCGGATTTCGAGAGTCAAACTTCTTATTTGACCGTGAATTCCGACATAGGATCTTTGATTTTTTGAAATAAAATTTGCATATTTGATAACTACGTAAAAAGTACTATAAGTCACAATAATTAATAATTTAAAATATTTAAATACATGAAAAAATCGCTGTCAAGAAAAACTTATTGGACCCTCGAAATCTGACTACTGCCACATAAATTTGGACGGAGAGAGTAGTTATTTTAGGTGGTTGTACTAGGATTCTGTGGGAAGAATCACGGTAGTTGATTTTCACATCACAATCTAGTGTCAACTAGGTATTTTTTTTTACCGTAAAGTTCCGCCAATTGACATTTATCTTTTGTCCTGTCAATTCTTCTGTATATCCCGGAGACATTACTGCTCTGATGCTAGTTCATAATTAGTATGTTCCTTTTACTTCAGGATCGGAGATTGTTGAAGGCAACTTCTGTTTGTACTTAGTGAAATCATGGGTATAGATGTGGAATCTCAGTTAGCCCATGTTTCAGTTGAGAACAAGATTCTGAAAGACAATGGGAGAATGAATAATGTTGCAGGGGTTAACGATCCCATAAAAGTTGGCTCTCATGGTATTGAAGAACCAATTAAGGAGGAAAGGAAGAGAGATCCTTTAATCAGCCTCCGGGAGAATGCGGTTGATGAATGGCCTCAAGAAAAACAGGTCCATTCTTTCTACATTGTCAAATATCGGAGATTTGAAGACCAAAAGCTGAAGTCCAAAATAGAACAGGCCGAAATTGAGCTACAGAAAAAGAACAAAGCAAGATCGCAGATTATTGAAAAATTAAAGCTCATAAGGGTGAGTGTCACTATTATCTGCTTTTGGCTGAAGATTTGATACTTTGGATGTGAATACTTCTATAAATGTGTAAAAACATTGTATTCAATATTAATCCCTTTTCAATATCAATGTTAGGTAATCATGCACTTTAATTTTGCCTTAACGGCTTAACGCTGATGAACTTTCAGACATAGCATGTTATATATTACCTTTATACCAGGCCCTCTTAAGTTAGCTGCAGGTTCGCCCGAACTCTTCTTTATAGAGGGTATTGTAAAACTAATGAAATAAGTCCTTGGCTGCAGGCAGATAGAGCGCAGCTCATTGAGCAAAGGAAATCTCTAAGTGCTGAGAATCAGCAGTTTTGGACAAAGATTGATGAGAAAAGAAAGGAAGTCAAACCGCTGCACGATGCCTTGGGCGAGCTCCGTGGTGCTAGAAATACTGGCGGAGAGAGGGGTTATAGTCTGTGTTCATCTGAGGAGGAGCTTAACAATCTTGTAAGCTTTAGTTTCTTCGCTTTTTTTCTTCCACTTCTACTTACCTGTATCAAGCTGAGTAATTGAAAAGCACATACTGTTAATAATATTTTTCTTTAATTTTGGAAATTCATCAGATCAAAAGCCTGGAGTACCGCATTCAACATGAAAGCATTCCTCTGAATGAAGAGAAGCAAATTCTCAGGGAAATCAAGCAACTTGAAGGAACAAGGGAAAATGTTAAAAAGAATGCTGCTATGAGAGCAGATATTCTGGAATCGAAAGGTGACAAGGAGTCAATTCAAAACCAGGTCAAAGTAAGGCTCTGAAATTTATTTGCTTAACGGTAGCAAAATTTCTGGTTTCCTGGCCTAAATAATAAAGGGCTTTTTTCATTTTTGACCCGTCGGCCGAAAATAACTACGGGCGCTAGCCCAAATATACAAAACATATATGCTGATTATGTAATATTATATGTACATTTATGTATATTATATGTAATTTATACTTCATATCAGTGTTGTCAAAAGCGAAAAGCTCTAAAAAGTGCTCCAGGTCTATTGGGTCTTTAAGCGCAAAGCATAATTAAAATGTGGGCTATTTAAAAAAAGGCGCAATGAAGGGTAAAAATAAATATATATGTAATTCAAGGAAAAAGAGTAGCAAATTCACTCATGATGTTTTGCTCAACAACTAATACACTTATTTGTCGATTATTATTGCAGTTTAATACTGCCCGATTCAAGATAGAACTCATGGGAAATAAGGCACACGCCTTAGTGCCTTGCTTACACTGAAGCGCTGATTAAGCGAGGCGAAGCGCGCTCCCTAGCTTTTCTGAGCTTCAGAGTTTAAGCGCGCCTTAAATGAGCCTTTGACAACACTGCTTAATATACAAAACATATACATTTGCCGACTATTATTTTTTGGCCTTTCTATTGGTGTGCCTTTATAACTAATAACTCTTCAAATACTTCATCCACTGTAGCTTATAAGTGTTGACTTGGACGGAGTCCGTAAGGAGCAACAGGCGGTAAAGGCCAAGCTTAAGAAACTGGACGATCACATCGATGACATAACAAAGCAGATCAAGTCATTGGATGAGGAAGTGAAGGAAATTGTAAAAAAGAGAGAAAGCACTTATGAACATATTCTTGAATTGAGAAAACAACGTGATGAAGGGGTATGCTTTTCTGTTTTCTTTTGTTGACTGAAATATCCTGTCACTACTGGTTTATGTTAAACATATGCGTGATTACGAGCTTATGAGTATTTTATGAATTGTATACCGTTCTATCAAAAACTTTTTTTATGAGGTCAAAATGATGTTTAGTTATCCATTATGTATTATTCTGCGCCATGGGTGAAGACAACACGGGAAATCTAAATAGAAAATCTGCAGTTTCCTTTAACATTATAAAAGAGGCAGAGCCAGGATTTTAATGTTATGGGTTCTAGATTTCAGGACGATGATTTCAAGTGCTAATAACTGGGTTCTAAATTTAATATTTGTTTATATTTAATGAATTTTTTAACACAAATACACTGTTTCATATTCATCTCATCCATCAGAAAATTATCTAATTCATTTGATAATCTGAATATCAATATGGTTTTCATTTGCTGCAACATTGTAGATAAATAAGTGTATCTGGATTGATTTTGATAAGTGTCCTTCAATTTTTTTTCTCCAGAATTCTCCTTTCTACAAAAACTCCACAATGTTACAGAAAGCCAAACAGCTTGCGGATAAGAAGGATATTGAAGCCCTTAAAGAACTGTCACTGATGGAGGTATGATGGGTGATTATGTATATAATATATAAGTTATATGTATATTTATGTATATTATATGTATATTTATGTGTGGTATATGTATGTTTATACTTAATATACAGAACATATACATTTGCCGGTTATTGTTTTGGAGGTCGGCCCAATAAGGTAATTATCCCAAAAGTTTTTGCTTTGCATGTGTTTGTGTTGACAATTATTTTTACGTCTTTAGGCCGAGAACTTCATGTCTCTCTGGAGTGTTGATAAGGCTTTTAGAGATGATTACGAGAGGAGAATTTTGTCATCGCTTGACATTAGGCAGTTGAGCAAGGATGGCAGGATGAGGAACCCTGATGAGAAGCCTCTAGTGTCACCGGAGGCACGGACTGCGTCACAGACAGAGGTTGCACCAAAAACTAATGTGGATCCACCAAAGGAAGATCCCGTTTCTACCGCAAAACTTGATGCTTCTGCAACGCAGAAAGTACAAAAAGAGAAGAATAGCAAGGAGCTGAAAGATGCAAATGGCAAAAACACGAGTACTCTGAAAGAAGATTTTGATTTCGTTGATGGCAACGAAGAAGTCTATGGTTTAGAAAAGCTACCCGAGGATACTAATGCCAAGCGGAACGGTGTTGATGAAGTAAAATTGAGAGAGATGAAGAGAGAAGAGGAAATAGCAAAAAATCGGCAGGCAATGGAGAGGAAGAAGAAGTTGGCGGAGAAAGCAGCTGCTAAAGCAGCATTAAAAGCTCAGAAAGAAGCTGAAAAGAAGCTCAAGGAAATTATCCTTCTCATTCCTTATAATATTATTGTCTCTTTTAGTTTCATATTGGAAGGGGAGCCTTGGCGTAACTGGTAAAGTTGCTGTCATGTGACCAGGAGGTCACAGGTTCGAGCCGTGGAAATAACCTCTTGCAGAAATGCAGGGTAAGGCTGCGTATGATAGACCCTTGTGGTCCGGCCCTTTTCCGGACCCCGCACATAGCGGGAGCTTAATGCACTGGGCTGCCCTTTTTTAGTTTCATATTGTATAAATCTACTTTGGCTCTTGACTCATCTAGTGCTTTTAACACTTTTCAGGACCTTGAGAAGAAAGCGAGGAAAAAGGCTGGTGCTGTTGTTACTGGTCAGGATCCTATGGAGGAACCAACTGAGACAACTGAGGAAGAGAAGGCGGAGGAAAAGGTTGAAACTCCGGTAGCCCCTAAGGTCAAGGAGTGCAAAGAGAACACCGTTAGGCATAGAGCAACGCGTGCAAAAGGCTCCGAGCTTCCTAAAGTTATATTAAAACACAAAAAGGGAAGAAACTACTGGCAGTGGGCTGCTCCTGCCGCTCTGGTAGTGTTGTTACTTCTTGTCGCGGCATACAAGTATATGCTGTAGGATACTGTTGACGTCGAAATTAGAATGAAATAGAAGAGGGAAAACGTGGTTATTCTCAGATATATTGCAATAGCAACGTTAGTTTAGTAACTTTAAGCTATTCCTTTTTTAATTTTTAATTTTTTTTTTTGCATCCTAGACTATAGGGATGGGATAGTTATAATTTTGCTGGTAGATGAGGCAGGTCCGAGATACTTACAGATAGAGTAATTATACATTTTTGGTTTTGACAGTGTAGTTTCAAATTTTGATATTTGCTTAGGGATATATCGTCTGGGTGTTTCTTTTGTAATCAGTGGCGGGAGCCAGATTTTGTTACTAAGGGGATTCAACATATATATATATATATATATATTTTTTTTTTTTTTTTTATTTTTTTTATTTTACGTATCTACACAGTGTAACTTTCTGCCGAAGGATGTGTTTTTTTATTACATGCCTACTTAGTTCATTGAGATTCAAGAGAAAAACCTTGCCGGGCCACCTTTAAATTTGTTACAACAGGAATGATAATATTACTATGTGGGAATGATCAAGTAATTTATCCGTAAAAATAGCACGGGCTAGCCAGTTTTCGGACTGGTCATTCAAAAATAGCCAGCGTTTGCAAAATCATTGAAAAATAGTCACTATTTTGCTGCAACACGGAAAGTTCCAACACAATATATTGGAGATCGGTGCACCTGTGTATGAAGTTCCAGCATATTATGGTGGAACTCCAACACGCAGAAAGTTCCAGTATAATATACTGGAGCTCCAGTATATTATGCTTGACCGATATATTATACTGGGACTCCAGTATATTATACTGGAGTTCCAGTATAATTACACCAGAACTCTAGTATATTATACTGGAGTATTTTTCTAGATTTTGAACAGTGTTTTCATTCAAATTTATCTTTACATAAAAAGTGGCTAAATTTCGATTACTTTTAAAACTGTGGCTATTTTTGAATGTCCGCTTGTAAATCTAGCTATTTTTGAATTTCTCCCCATTTATCTCCCCTATGTTCTATGCGCAATAACCGTAGTACCATAAAATTTTATACATTTCAAATATTTTTGGAATTATGTTATATATAAATTGTTGAATCTCTTTAACATTAAAAAAAAAAAAATTATACTGCAATGACAAAAAAGATTCAAAAATTACGTTAGGTCATAGATTCAAATTCCATATGTGCAACTTATTTTTTTTTTTTTTTTTTGGGTGTAAATTCCTTTGCTCGAATTTCTGGCTTCGCCACTCTTCATAGCCGCCAATATAACAACTTACATTGGGATTAAGTAGCTATTACGTTAACTATTTTCTTTTTCTTCTTTTTTATTTTAAATTTATTATCACATTTGGGGGGGGGGGGGGGGTTTATGAAAGCTTCACCAACTTGTTTATTTATTTAACGTAATAAAACACGCGAAAAATGTTACAGAGTAATATATATTCCATCTTTAGATCTCTGAAAAGGATTTGATTGTCCTGAATCCATGATTTTCTGGAAGAGGTCCATTCCCTGGCCTGACTGAGATTATCACTTCCAAACCTGAATGAAGGAAATAAGTGAGAAATTTCATTGAAATATAACACACTGGGGGTCATTTGGTTAGGGATTATACATATATGGAGATTAATAATGAAAAAACTTGTTATGCAGTAATTAATAATGAACGAACCGTTATGCGGTTATTAATAATTAAGAGATTGTTATACATCGATGACTTACTTTAAGGGACATTATGTCTTAAAATAGTTCAATCCCCACATTGCTAATACATTTGTTGTTCTACACTCTATATAGGGGTGTTCACGGTTCGGTTTGGTCGGTTTTTGATTAAAACCAAAACCAAACCAATTTAATCGATTTTTAAAATTTTAAAACCAAAACCAAACCAAATTAAATACAAATCATCGGTTTGATTGTTGTTGGTTTGGTTCGGTTTGGTTAGGTTTTTCGGTTCTTAGTAAGCTAATGATAAGTCGATAATATTAAAACAACGCTAGACAACAATCTGAAAATAATTTGCCAAATTTATGCTTTTTATATATTTCTTTGAGAACTGAAAGTTTATTTACATGTTTATATGAAAAGAATGAACAAAAAACAAACTATAAGGTTGCTTTCTCAAGCTTTAGCCATTGTTGTCTTGCAATTTGAATGTGCTTTCTTTACTCTTGTGGTGGTTTTTTTTTTACCTCTTCTTTTAGGCAAAAGTATGTGCGGGTTTAGAGAATTAGTGTCTATTAATGAAAAGAAAATTGGTCGAATCCTATTGTTATGGGCTTAGGCAATCTTTTAAGATATAACAGGATAAACCAAAATTCAAAATAACAATTAAAATTATTAACAAAAAGATATTATATTGTATATAAATAATTATTAAATTTTGTATATAATTAATCGGTTTGGTTCGGTTTATTTTTCGGTTTTTTAAAATAGAACCAAAACCAAACCAAATATTATCGGTTTTTAAAATTTAAAACCAAAACCAATCCAAATCAAAAAAAATATCGGTTTACTTAATCGGTTTGGTTCGGTTTTCCGTCAAACCGCGAACACCCCTAACTCTATACAACAACAACCTAGTGTAATCCCACAAGTAGGGTCTGGGGAGGGTAGGATGTCCGCGGCCTTACCCCTATCCTATCCCGCATAAAATACATAAATTTCCTACATAACTTAATGCAGACATTATTTAATACCGTTAACCAAAAGCTGCATTAGTTATGTGGTGCGTTTGTAGCCAACAAAACGCTATATTACATTTATGTGAGTTTTTAAGATGGGAATAATGGTAGGAAGGGGGACGAAGGGGAACCTTGGCGTAACTGGTAAAGTTGTTGTCATGTGACCAAGAGGTCACGGGTTCGAGCTGTGGAAACAACCTTTTGCAGAAATGTAGGGTAACACTACGTACAATAGACCCCTGTGGTCCGGCCCTTCCCCGGATCCCGCGCATAACGTGAGCTTAGTGCACTGCCGATGCCTTTTTAATGGTAGGAAGGGGGATAGCTTGCAACTGAAAAGTAGAGAATATTTCATACTAAAACAAGCAGAACATTACCTGCTGCCTTTGAAGCTATGGCTTCTTGATAGACGTCCGTCACAAACAAAATCTCAGATGGATTATCTACACCCAAGGATGCCGTAATTTCAGTGTAACTTTTTGTTTCTCTCTTATTCCTACAACAAATAGAAGAAACATCAATTACTTCACATGAAAAGATATCAGGATATCGCTTTAAAATCAGAGATGTCGGCCCTGCTGAAAGATGGAAATTTACCCCACTGTTGTATCAAAAAATCCACAGAGATATTTTCTCAGGTCTCCATAGTTTGTGTAACCAAAGATAAGCCTTTGTGCCAATCTGCTTCCACTTGAGTATATGTACACCTTAGGGACAAAATAACTAGTCATTTTATATACTTCAAAATACATCTTGACAGGTCAATGAAGAAGAAAGAATTTAATGCAGCTGGCTCGAGTCGTTAATGATTTTGGATAAGGTATAATAGAGAGATTTCTTTGATCATAATCCAACACTAGGTCTTTATGAAAGGGACGTGGCCAAGACATATAAAGACCGGTGTAGTCGCTCATAGAGACATACCTATCCGGAAAGGATAAATTCCATTCTCACCTTAATATTAATAGTTTAATACTAGTAATAGTCCAATTTATGAAACAAGGGGATAATGGGAGAAACCTTGAGGCCTAAAGCAGACCATCTCTCAAGAGCTTCGGGCACATCATCAAAAACAACTGCCTCTAACTCATTATTTTGAAACCCGGTTTGCCATATATGCCCCTGAGCAATAGAATATGAAGCCAAGCACAAATTATATTCAGATAAGACAAGGGAAAAATTAACTTCAATGCCATTCTCTTACCTGTAACTCCTTTAAGGCAGTAATCTTTCGGTCAGCTTTAATCATTGCCTCAACATTGGTAACCAAAGCTGCAATTACTTCCTCCTTCCCAGCATCATCAGAGGGAATAGGTACAGCACCGACAACACCATTTTCCAAGTCTTCTTGTACCTGAAAGAAAAGAGCAAAGGAGCCAAAATTAAGTTGGTTTTACCGCATAGTACCTAATTATGAATTACAGGTTTTTAAGTACGGCATGTATACGAGACAGTTTTTACTTGTGAAAAAATATTGAATCATGTTTTGGTATAACAATAATAGCACAGTATTACAACAACAACAAACCCAGTACAATCCCACATAGTGGGGTCTGGGGAGGGTAGTGTGTACGAAGCCTTACCCCTACTTTGTAGAGACATAGAGAGGCTGTTTCCAATAGACCCTTGGCAAGAATAGCACATTAGTGGGGTTCTAATTTTATTCAGCTATAGTTTTCATATCTTAGTTTTATGCCTGCTGTCATCGACAACAGCGCCACTCCTTCCTCAATACCCTCATTATCCAATCCCGTCTGCAGCACAAATGAGCTTGAGAGATACCCTTTAAATCATTGCTCTTTTCCAGTATAATTGAATTCAGAAAGGCAAAGCATGTTTATCTTAGCTTTATTATCAGATATATGTATAACCGTGTATTGTTGTGAGTGTAAAATGCAAGATGACGTACTAGTCAGTATTTATGAAAAGCATTTATTTTCTTGCAAGCGGAAAATTCAAATGGATGGTCCTTATCTAATGGATGAGTAATAATAGCTAGAGCTCAGCTCGAGATTTATCTTACTTGAGCTCTTAGAAGCTTAATATCCTCCTGGGTTTCTGCTGAATCATATGTTCCATCCAAATGTCTCCCCACATTATCACGAGCATAAGGAAAAAGAACATCTGTAACAAATGATATGGGTGTTGTGGTTCCCTCAATATCCAAAACGACGCAGCGCTGCACCAAACTATAAAAATCACTATGCAAGCATGCAACAAGAGCTAAAATTATATGCATATGAAGCTTAAACCAAAATATCAAAAAACTAGAGAATGGTAATTTTCAAATGCTTACCCGTAATGGCTCAATGTCGCCACTCAAAGAAAGACCACCTGCTTTTGCAGACGTCTTGACATTTCGGGTACTGCTTAAAGCACCATTGGAGTTATGAATAGGACCATGAGTTGGTGTTGTCCAGTCCAGCCCCAACTGATTAAGCTTAATTGCAGCATCAAATAGATAGTGGTAACACTCAGCCTGGAGGATAGGATGTCAATTTGAAGAGTTCAAAATAAGAGTGAAGCAAACCCTTCTCGCTCCCCCCCCACCCAACCCCCCCCCCCCCCCCCCCTAAAAAAAAAAAAATAAATAAGAAGAGGGAGGTACGGGGAAGGAACAAATCAAAATGTGAATATAGCACTTAGGTTGTAGAATAATATGGCGAAATACCATAGGTATCAATCACTATTACTTTTAGACATTAAGAATTAATCATGCCTCGAAAGATCAACACAAATTTGCTTCACAACACAAACCTGAGTTTTAGCACTGATCCAGGAATCTCCCCACACATATATCCCATGGTTTCGGACCAGCACGGCCGTTGTCTTTGGATAAGCTTTGATCTGTTCAACATGGACAAATGATCATTACCTCCCAGGAGACGTGTCACACAACAAAAGAATCATTTAAGTCTTAAAATCAAAATCTTAAGCAAATACATTTTCCTTCAAAGGGAACGATTGAGAGCAAATGACGGCTGGCACTAGGCATATAGACAACTGACTTATAGACTATAGTTAAACATTAAACAAAAAGTATATAACATCTTGATTTCGTTTACAAAACCAGGGTTTTCAGACTAGATGAGGTTTCTCTCACTAACCTGAATTGGTGTGATAGTACCTTAAACCAGAGATGCTAGTTTTGGATTCTCTGTTAATAGTAAACATCGTTTACCTGTGTTTTGCTGTTTCGTGCCACTTAATAGTTGTATTTGTTTACAAAGATTATTGAGTTTCTTAGCTCTGTGGTGCAACTTCTTTTGAACTGGATATGAGGAAAAAAGCATGTTGGATTTCACTTGCTACTTTTGTATGAACGGAACCCCCACTCTTCTCTAAAGATCCAGCACTATATTTATGTTGGTTAAGTTTTACCAATAATATTCTTACTAATCCAAAAAATCAGTAATAATAATGTTTGTGTACGATTATAGAAGAGTATTAGAATCCAATTACCAGTAACACAGATACATTAGTTTGCACTTGAAATAAAAGCCTATAATCAAGTGGAGAATATCAGCTCCAAAGATGAATGAGAAAAATAACCAAATGATTTTAGCCTTTTAGGGATGTCTTTTCCCTCTCTTCTAGGATCAGGGTATCTGGTGCAGTTCATTAAAAATAAAGGAATAGGAAAAAAGAAGTGAAGCCCGGATTCTTTCTCCCGTGTATAGTTCAGAAGTACTGAATCAATTTCAGTAGTGAAGGGGAAGTGCATAATATGAAACAATTGTACCAGAATACAGTACATTTCCTAAGTTTTTCAGTTGAGAACTGTTACCTAGAAGCTTTGTGATCACAGCCAAATTAGAACAGGAACGAAGTTGACACTTTCAACATGATTCATTCACGTATACAATATAAGCCATTAAAATATCAAATATGTTGTATGAATTGAAGCCAACCATGATAACAACAATCTCAGATGCATGAATATCCATAATTTATGATGCACAAATAGCACTGATTGGTAGACAAGATTTTCAGTAGATACAGGGGCATACTGCTTCTGTAAGAGATTCTGTGAGTTCTCTCTCGTGCGCAGTGTTCTCTATGATTGGGACCACAAGTTCATCATAGTAACCGTGCCCTTGAATTCCTTTGATCATTTCCATATGAGTGATCTATAATTACAATGAAGAAGAATATGAGTGAGATTTTAAAAAAAAGGACACACGAGATTTCGCTCTTATATATTGTGGAATCAGATGGAGACAAAAGCATCTCTTTATACTGTTTGAAAACAAAGTCTTTAAAATGTAAATTTTCTGAAAACTGTCCTAGTCTCCTATAATAGACCATGTTGAATGTTAAGAAGTCTCAAACACAAGTAGATTCGCTAAAGTGAAACCTTTAGACTTCCAAGATATTTATGCCACAAGCACATGTGTGACCTTACCTTTCCCAAAAAAGAGGAATCCTAATAAACTTATTTTCATACTTCTAGTTTCAACTGTCTTCATTCATGCAGCTTATGATCCATTAACACCATCCCACCAACTATACTTTAACGAGTTTCTCATTTCCACTTCACTCATCTGTTATACTGGTTATGGTTGAATTTCCTATTTGCGTATTATTCTTCCCTTGTCTATCAAAGAAGTATGAGCTAATGTTAGCCAACGAAAAGCATCTATAAGAAGAAAGCTAAAATCATTGACCATAAAGAACAGAAGGTCAGAAGGCACTAATCTGAATATGTTTCATAATTCAACTGCTGTCCCTGACTGCTTTCAATTATATTGTCAAATTCTTGATATGGTATCAGGCAAGAAATACTGAGAATTTTCTAGAATAAAGTTGAATCGTCTATAACTTTCTTGTTATCATTTTCTTTTACTATATGTTTTACCCTCAGGCTATATTCACCATCAAACAATTATACTCAGAATGCAAATTAAGAGATCTCAGAGAGGACTATCTAAGAAGATACAGGTTGAACTTGAGCCTTTATATGCTTCTCCAAGTTCACATACTTACCCGAAATTCTTTTAATAGTGGATTGAGCATTGTTACTATACAGGATTCCATTCCATGACTATGGATAACAGCACCGGCATTACGCATCTCATAAGCCTGAGAAAAAGGAAAAAGGAGTGGAAGTTATGGGAGGTAGAATCCACGGCAAACCCGAAATAGGAGAATCAAGCACACAGATTGGCTAATATAAGAGCACATTTTCAGATCTTAAATTAGCTGATCCATTCATTTTCCATTTGCTCATTTTTCTAAGCCGGCCACTCTGTCTTTAGTTACTAGTTCAAATTACATGAAATACATAATCCACACACAGTGACAAATCCAGTTGCTGACCCCTAACTGATCTATGATTGACATGTAGTTGATTGATTGATTGACTACTAAATTTATATTCTAGCAAACGGAACCGGCACATGCTAAAGTAGAACACCAAAACAAAAATCTGGCAGGGGACATTCACAGGATTCTATCTTTAGCTCAATTCAACACAGCAAATTGGTCAACATTAAAAGTTGGAAACAAGAATCAAGACAATTAGTTGATGATTTCATCCTTTTCAATAATGGTGTCCAGCTCAGGCACCTCGAGTATTCCACAGGTACATGCTATTTTCCACCAGCACAGATACCGAGTAACTCCACCCGCCGAAAGCTTACACAGCGTTTGCTTATTTTCTAAATCGAGCACACTGACTTCAGGTATTGGTTCATATATAGGACATGAATTACACTATCCATAGATACTGATAAATCTAATTGCTGACGCTAAACTGATATGGGATTGAGGTGTAGTTGACTGATTGATTGACTATCTAATAAATCTAATTCTTGCAAATGGAACTGACACTAGCTAAAGTAGAACACCAAAGCAGAAATTTGGTAGTAGACATTCACAAGATTCTATCTTTAGGCAAATTGGGCAACCTCAAAAATTCAAAACAAGAATCATGACAGTGATGACCAATTGTACCTTTAAAAACAAAGGAGCACAATCAGAACACTTGGGAGGCTTATATGGGTACGGTTTGGCCAATGGCGCAGATAAAACTGATCCATTTGAAGACAACACATACATATCCTCTTCCACCATCCTTTCCTTTTGCACCCCTAATCAAACAACCCAAAAACACACAGAACTCAAAGAACAGAATTTTTTATTTTATTTAAATAAAGATAGAGATTGAGTAGAGTACCAACTTAATTTAACTACTTCATTTGTTCTAGTTTATGTGATACTATTTCCTCATTACTCCATTTCAAAAAATGATCTCTTTCAAAATTTGAAAATAATAGTTAAACTTCTTATTTTACCCTTAACGAGAAGCTTTTACAGTTCCACAAATGTTATGACAAATTTAAAGACCACATGTTTCAAAAGTCTTACCGTCACACAAATGTATGGCATGTTTAAGACCACACAGATTCAAAAGTTCTCATTTTTTTCTTAAATTTTGTGCCGAGTTAACTAATCCCTTCTTCCCAATTTCTGTGGCGCCATTTGACCATAAGTCACGAACATTTGTGTGGCTATAAATAGTGGCGGATCCGGAATTTTCATCAAGGGGTGTCAAAATATAAATAATTAGATACATCAAAAAGTCAAAGGGGAGTCAGCGTTTAGTAAAATACATAAAATAAAAAAATTTATCTAGCAAAATAGTATAATTTTCCGGCAAATGTGGCTCCGCCACCGGTTATAAATCATCCCATTAAGGATAAAATAAGAATTTTGAAGTTAAATTACTTTTAAATGTAGAAAGGTAACATATTGTCTATCAAACACGAAAAAAAGAAAGTGCATCACATAAATTGACGTATGCCACATAAATTGGAATTGAGGAAGCATAAGAGAAGTACTAAACACAAACTAATTAAGACACTATTTATTGATTTTGGTGTAAATTAAGATGTTAAAGGGAACCGTAAAAACAGCCACTAATGCTTGCATTCTACGTCACACTTCTTAGGTGCGGCCTTTTCCCGTACCCTAATGTTAAATGGGTACTTACCTGAAGGGGACATGACGATAAGCTGTTGAGGTTTAGGAATGGAGTCATCATGAACTTTAATGGTGATGCTGCCGCCGGTGCCGGAAACCCAACCCTGATTGTAAAAATGGCGGCATAATTCGGCTATTAACGACTTGGTTTCTTTGACCTTTGTTCCTTCTAAGTATGCCTGTGAATTTGTCGCCATTTTTACAGCTCCGTTCAATGCCAATAATGGAGCTGCTGAAGCTACTGCCATATTTGTTTTGTACTAGAATAGTATTATTAGGATATGTTTGTATTGATTGGTTCGATGTAAGGAGCCGATTTAGCGTCCAGTATCAGAGTCTGAATAGATTGCCTGAATATCAGTGAACTAAAATAGAATATGGTATCTGGGCACATTTTTCATGGGTTATTTTAGGTTATTTTCTACCCCTTCGGTTTCAATTTATGTGAAGGAATTTAGAATAGGAGGATCACAATTCAAAACATATAATTTATGTATTATTCACACAAAAAAAAATGACACATTTTTATAAAAAAATTCAACTTAGGGTGTGTTTGGTATGAAGGAAAATATTTTCCTTCAATTGGAGGAAAAAAATTTTGTTTACCAAGACAAGGGAAAATATTTTTCAAAATTCATTCTCAACCTTCCTTACCCTCGCCAACCCACCCCACCCCACCCCCTCTCTCCAAAAAAGGCTCTTTTTTTCCTTTCAAATTTCAGTTTTTCGTTACCACCCACCCTACTACCCCTCCATCCCACCCAACCCCCCCATCCTCCTCCCGCAAAAAAAAAATTAATTTTTTACCTTATTTTTTTTATTGCAATTTCAAATTTCTGTTTTTTCGTTTCAAAATTTTACAAGTTCCAAAGTTATGAGTTCGGAGGTTTATGTGTTTGGAAGTTTACGGGTTTAGAAATTATAAAGTTTACGAGTTAGAAATTCCGCAGTTTCGAAAGTTTAGCGGTTCGAAAGTTTATGAAAAATGTGGGTTCGAAAGGTTGTGGGTTCGAAAGTTTATGGCTTCATGTTTATTATATCTAAATTATTTATGAATACTCTTGAGAAGTCATTTTTCTTATTTTGCGTACCAAATACCGGAAAATGAATAAGATTACTACTTGTTTTCCAAGAAAATATTTTCCACGGAAAATATTTTTCGTTATACCAAACACGCCCTTAAACTCTTCATTTTACCCATTTTATCCTTAATGGTAAACTTTCATAACTACACAAATGTCATGTTTCCACAAAAATTTTATCCCTTAAGCTGACCACAAGTTTTAAAAGTCCTTTTTTTCTTCAACTTCGTATCGAGTCAAACTACCTCATCTAAATTGAAACGAATGGACTAGTACTATATTTGAAAATTATATAAAAATAATATTTTATATTTTATGTTTCTTAGTTTTAGTGGATAAATATTTAATAATATGCTAAGAAATTTTTTACTTAAATTAAATGTGTGTATACTATACCAGAAAAAGAGTATATCATTAAGAATAAAAATATTGGCATTCTTTTTTTTAAAACAAATTAACAAGAAAAATTAAGACATAATTGAATGAGGAGTTTAAATAAGCATAGTTAATAATCAAAACAGTTAAAAGAGTTCTACAAAATTACAATCAAAGAAGAATTATTTGACTTCTCAAATAGTAAATACCTTCGCATAAAATGGAACAGAGAAATTATCACATAGATTTTCTATGTTGGTGTGTTGAATTGTTTAATTTTGCAAGAAAATGTATTTCCCTTTTGAGTAAAAATAATAATTATGAAGAATTAACCTAAATAGTCGTCCGCTTAATCATTTAAACAAAAATTAGCTGGTGAATATGTAATTTATACATAATACCTGTCTAACTGTATATAACTAGTGTATAATTTATGTATACTAGCTAAAAATAATAAACGGTTAATTCAATAATTACCAGCTTTATTCTTGGTTTTATGGCTGATAATTTGATTTCATCCCTTATGTTTTGTCTATTTTATCTGCATCATCAAAGACCCGGCTGAACCTGTCCAGCAAAAAAAAGGCCCAAAATGAATTCTCGGGGAGTAAATTTTAAAAATAGCCAGATTTATAACTGGTCGTTCAAAAATAGCCCAATTTTAAAAGTAATCGAAATTTAGCCACTTTTTATATAAAGATAAATCTGAGCGAAAACACTGTTCAAAACCCGGAAAATACTCCAGTATATTATGCTGGAGTTCCAGCATAAGTATACTTGAACTCCAGCATATTATACTGGAGTTCCAGAATAAGTATGCAGGAACTCCAGCATAATATGATGGAGTTCCAGCATAAGTACACTAGAACTCCAGCATAATATACTGGAGTTCCAGCAAGTATATTGGTCCAGTATAATATTGTCACGACCCGGATTTCCCACCCTCGGGAGTCGTGATGGCGCCTACTATTAGGAGCTAGGCAAGCCAACTATTTATTATCTCTTTTAGCAAACCTCGACATTTAATAAATTCGACGAAACAATTAATAGAAAAGCGGAAGTCTTAAATATAAATAAACGGAAAACAATGCGGAAGTTTAACAGAATCCTCTACCCAAGAACTGGGGTGACAAACTCACGAACATCTAGAGAATGCAAAATACAACGTCTGAATAAAAATATAATTCGGTTTGTTCCGGTACAAAGGATATCAAACTGAAGTAAACATAGAAGAGACTCCGGGCCATGCGGACGCCAGCAAGGCTACCTCGGGATCTCTAGACTGAAGANGGAAGAGCCATAACACCGGGGTTGGGCCCCACTCCCTGAACCTCATCTCTGGGACGGCCGGCTGCTGGCTGGCCTCTACCTCTGGCAGTATGAGCTCCACCTCTATGACCTCTGCCTCCACCTCTAGCTGGCTGGGCAGGCTGTGGAACCTCTGGTGCCTGAACCATAGCACGAGAACTCTGATGCTGAGAGCTACCATAAACTCGGGGGCAATATCTGACAATGTGCCTCGTGTCGCCACAAGCGTGGCAAGACCTCGGCTGCTGCGGCTGAGCACCCCTCAACCTCGGGCAAGCCCTCCTGAGATGACCATACTCGCCACACTCAAAACATCCACGCGACTGCTGTAGCTGCGGAAACTGAGGCCGACCCCATCGACCTGAATGACCACCTGAAGTACCATGAGTGACCTGGAGAGCTGACTGAAAGGGCCTGGAAGGATGGCCTCTACCACAAGAACCTCTACCTCCTGACGAGGTACCACTGAATCTGCCTGCATGACGGGGCCTCTTATCCGACCCATGACCACCTCCCTGTGGCAGAACTATCTCAACTCTACGACCCACATTGGCCGCCTCCTGAAAAGTGATCTCACCCCCGGCCTGAGCCACTATACTCGGCTGACCTGCCACCGCTGGCTGAACCACTAGAAGCAAACCCGCTCGAATGACACCCTCTATGAGGTCTACCAATCGGACTAGAGCGTCCTGAAGAACTGGGGTGGCAATGAACCCCTATGGGACCTGAGCTGGGCCCACCGGAACTGCTGGGGCTAGAACCTCCTCCTCAAACTCAACCCGAGGCTCCGCCTCTAGGGCTGCTGCTCAGGGCTCAGACTGCTGAGCGGTAGATGAGGAAGCGCGTGTTCTCGCCATCTGCGAAAGAATAGAGTAGAAATTCAATCGGTGGTTGAGAAACAGAACCGCACGACAAGAAAGATGAAATGTGAAGTTTTTCCTAACTCTGCAGCCTCTGGGGGATAAATACAGACGTCTCCGTACCGATCCCTCAGACTCTACCAAGTTTGTCCGTGAGTTGTGAGACCTATGTAACCTAGAGCTCTGATACCAACTTGTCACGACCCGGATTTTCCACCCTCGAGAGTTGTGATGGCGCCTACTATAAGGATCTAGGCAAGCCAACTATTTATTATCTCTTTTAGCAAACCTCGACATTTAATAAATTCGACGAAACAATTAATAGAAAAGCGGAAGTCTTAAATTTAAATAAACGGAAAACAATGCGGAAGTTTAACATAATCCTCTACCCAAGAACCGGGGTCACAAACTCACGAACATTTAGAGAATGCTAAATACAACGTCTGAATGAAAACATAATTCTGTTTGTTCCGGTACAAAGGATATCAAACTGAAGTAAAGATAGAAGAGACTCCGGGCCATGCGGACGCCAGCAAGGCTACCTCGGGATCTCTAGACTGAAGACAACTCCCAATCAACTACTGCTGTCCAAAAGCTGCTCCGGCACCGTGATCTGTGCAAAAAGATGCACAGAGTGTAGCATCAGCACAACTGACCCCATGTGCTGGTAAGTGCCTGGCCTAACCCCGGCGAAGTAGTGACGAGGCTAGAAAGGACTACCAAAACCAACCTGTGCAGTTCGATATATATATATATACAACAGAAGAAAATACAGAAATCTAACAAGTCAAGAGGGAGGGGAGCATGCTATAGGGGATGCAACAATCCGGATAACAAAAATCAACCAATAGAAGGTGAAAATGTACAACTACAACATCAACGAGAGTGGAAATTTAACAATTTGCACGGCACCATCCTTCGTGCTTTTACTCTCGTTCTCACCAAAACAATCAAATAAAGTGCACGGCATCAACCTTCGTGCTTTTCCTCACATAAACACTCATATCATGGCACGGAATGACCCTTCGTGCATTAGTGATCAAAACATGGCACGGAATGTTCCTTCGTGCATTAATAATCAAAACATGGCACGGAATGTTCCTTCGTGCATTAATAATCAAAACATGGCACGGAATGTTCCTTCGTGCATTAATAATCAAAACATGGCACGGAATGTTCCTTCGTGCATTAATAATCAAGACATGACACGGATTGTTCCTTCGTGCATTAATAATCAAAACATGACACGGAATGTTCCTTCGTGCATTAATAATCAAAACATAATCGTGCACGGCATCACCCTTCGTGCTTTATCGCTCGTCCTCACCCAAACAGCAATCACAAACAATGGGGTGAGGGAATAAACAAACAAAATAGAAATCCCGGCAAGTGAACAATAACAATAATTTCAATATCCTGGCAAGGGAGAAAATCAATATACGAATACAGCCCGGCAAGGGAATAATCACATTTCTTTCTCTTTCTTTCATTTCTTACTCAATAATTACTTTATCTTTCAAGCCATGCTCCAAAGAGTTCACAAATCATAATTCTTTCTCATATTCTTCACATTATACGGAAATCATCAACTACACAAGGAAGAGTCACAACAAAATTAGAATAAGCACAAATAAGGACTCACGGCCATGCTAGACACCAATGTATAGATACTCGTCACCATGCCTATACACCGTACTCGACAATTAGCAATTAGCAAACAATACTCTAATCCTATTCCCTCAAGCCAAAGTTAGATCAAACACTTACCTCAACTTCCACAGTTAAATCAATCCACAACGACCGCTTTCCCTTTCGAATTCGGCTCTAACTCAATCAA